CTCTTGTTACCCAGGCTGGAGTGCAATGGCGCAATCTCGGCTCACCGCAACCTCCGCTTCCTGGGTTCAGGCAATTCTCCTGCCTCAGCCTCCTGAGTAGCTGGGATTACAGGCACGCGCCACCATGCCCAGCTAATTTTTTGTATTTTTAGTAGAGACGGAGTTTCACCATGTTGACCAGGATGGTCTCGTTCTCTTGACCTCGTGATCCACCCGCCTCGGCCTCCCAAAGTGCTGGGATTACAGGCTTGAGCCACCGCGCCCGGCCCTGGCAGAGAACATTTGAATGAAAGGAGGGCAGGAGAAGGTCAGAGGCCTGCCCGGAGGCCTAACACACCCAACATTAAAACAAAAGGCAGTAACAAGGGCTGTGGGAGTTATGGGCCAGGGACCATGGACGAAAACCAGTATATATCCTAACAGCACACTGCCTCTATTTCATCATCTCCTCTTTCTCTCAAAAGTTACAAACCAACTGGTTTTTTTTAAGGGTTCTGTTTTCCTTTTTTTTTTTTTTTTTTTTTGAGACAAAGTCTAAGTTCTTGCTATGTTATCCAGGCTGGTCTTGAATATCCCTGGTACAAGTGATCCTCCTGCCTTAGCCTCCCGAGTAGTTGGGACTACAGGTGCAGGCTACTGTGCCTGGCACACATCAACTGTTTGTCACCAAATCCCGTGGCTTTCTCTACTTTTATCTGACAGGACCTACCTATATTTGAAAATGTAGACCCTGCTTCCCACCCACCATATCCTGTGAAACACCACACTGTTCTTTAGTTCTCTTCCATCCCAGTTCTCTTTCAGTCCCTTTGATTCTTCTAAATGTAAGTGTCCCAAAGTTCACACACAAAAAACTTACGTTTTCCCTCTTTTAGTAGAGACAGGCTTCACCATCCCAGTCAACTACACTAAAAGACTTAACGTCACTTTTGACCCTCAACCTAATCTCTGCGCTTACACGTTCATAGCGCTGTGGAGGGGGGGAAGCATTTTCATGCACTCGTGCTCTCCCTACGAATAACACCCTAATTCAGCCTGTCATTATGATTTGTATGGATTTTGCAATAGCTTGAAGCTAATTTTGCATGCCTCCATTTCCCACCTCTTCCAGCCCTTTGTATTAAGGCACCATGTTTTAGCGCCTTAACAGGTCCAGCGGATCACTTGATGTCAGGAGTTCTAGACCAGCCTGGCCAACATGGTAAAACCCCATCTCTACTAAACATACAAAAAAATTAGCGGAGCGGGGTGGTGCGTGCCTATAGTTCCAGCTACTTAGGAAACTGAGGCAGGAGAATTGCTTGAACCCGGGAGGCGGAGGTTGCAGTGAGCAGAGATCACACCAGTGCACTCCAGCCTGGGTGACAAGAGAAAGACTATCTCAAAATAAATAAATAAAAATAAAAAGGTAGACGAAATCCTTAACTCTCCTGCAATGAACTTTTGGTTTAAATAGTAGAGTACCATAAGAGCGTCTCACTTATGTCTCTCATTTTCCTTTTACTTTTCTTTTTAGACAAAGTCTTGCTCTGCCACCCAGGCTAGAGTAGAATGACGTGAGCTTGGCTCACTGCAACCTCCCTCGCAGGTTCAAGCGATTCTTTCACCTCAGCCTCCCAAAGTAGCTGGGACTACAGGCACTCACCACCACGCCCAGCAAATTTTTGTATTTTTAGAAGAGATGGGGTTTCACTATGTTGGCCAGGCTGGTCTTGAACTCCTCACCTCAAGTGACCCGCCCACCTCAGCCTCCCAAAGTTCTGAGATTACAAGTATAACTCCTGGCCTTTCTCCTTTTTTCTTATTTATTTTTTTATTGAGATGAAGCCTCAGTCTGTCACCAGGCTGGAGTGCAGTGGCGTGATCTGGCTCACTACAGCCTCCACCTCCCTGGTTCAAGTGATTCTCCTGCCCCAGCCTCCAGAGTAGCTGGGACTACAGGCATGTGCCACCACGCCCGGCTAATTTTTGTGTTTTTAGTACAGACTGAGTTTTACCATGTTGGCCAGGATGGTCTCATTGCTTTTGTGCTGAGATTACAGGCATGAGCCACTGTGCCTGGCTTTTTTTTTTTTTGGGGGGGGGGGGGAATGGAGTCTCATTCTGTCACCCAGGCTGAAGTGCAGTGGTGTGCAATGGTGCAATCTCAGCTCACTGCAACCTCTGCCTCCCAGGTTGAAGTGATTTTCCTGCCTCAGCCTCCCGAGTAGCTGGGATTACATGCATCTGCCATAACGACTGGCTAATTTTTGTATTTTTAGTAGAGACTGGGTTTCACCATGTTGGCCAGGCTTGTCTCCAGCTGCTGACCTCGTGATCCACCCACCTGAGCTTCCTGAAGTGTTGGAATTACAGGCATGAGCCACCACACCCAGCCTTTTCTCCCATTTTCTAATGTGACCATAAAAATTTTTCCTTTCCTTTTTTTTTTTTTTTTTTGAGACAGGGTCTCACTGTGTCACCCAGGCTAGAGTGCAGTGATACATGCAAACTCCACCTTCCACCTTCAGGGCTTAAGGGATCTTCTGGCCTCACCTCCTGAGTAGCTGGAACTGCAGGTGTACAGCACCACACTCAGCTAATTTTTATATTTTTAGTAGAGATGGGATTTTGCCATGTTACCTAGGCTTGCCCATCTGCTGGCCTGCCTGCCTGCCTGCCTGCCTGCCTCCCTTCCTTTCTTACCTCCCTCTCTCTGTCCTTACCTCCCTCCCTCCCCCCTTCCCTCCATCCCTCTTTCTTTTCCCTTCCCTTTCACTTCCCTTTCTCCTTCCCAGTCCTCTTCCCCTTCCCCTTTCCCTTTCCTCCAGTCCCCTCCCCTCCCCTTCCTCTCTCTCTCTTTTTTCTCTCTTCCCCTCCCCTTTCCTCCCCTCTCCTTTTTTTGATATTGTCTAGGCTGGTCTCAAACTCCTGGGCTCGTCATCCACCCACCTGGGCCTCCTTTGTAGCTGGGACTACAAGTGCACAACACCATGCCCAGCTTGGCTTTGAATTTTTAAAAGGCTAATACCCAGAAGGATCAGGCATGGTCCTAACACTTTGGGAAGCCAATGCGGGAAGATCACTTGAGCCCAGGGAGTTCGAGACCAGCCTGGCAACATGGTGAGACACTATCTTTACAAAAAATTTAAAAATCAGCTAGGCATGGGGGCACATGCTTATAGTCCTAGCTACTCAGGAGGCTGAAGAAGGGGGATTGCTTGAGCCCAGAAGGTCAAGGCTGCAGTGAGCCATGATGGCGCCACTGCTCTCCAGCCCGGGCAACAGAGGGAGACCCTGTCTCAAAGGAAAAAAAACAAATACAAAAATACCCAGAAGTACAAAGCAAATGAGAGAAGAGATTTTGGTAGATTTATAGAAGACAGGCTGGGTGTGTTATCCTAGCACTTTGGGATACTAAGGTTGGCAGATCCCTGGAGCCCAGGAAGTTGAATTTGCAGTGAGCTATGATCATGCCACTGTACTCCAGCCTGGACAACAGAGCCAGAACCTGTCTGAAAAAAAAAAGTAGTATGGAAAGCAAAGAGGTGTAAAATAGGAAAAAACAATTTTTTAAAGAATTAATTCAGAAGGTTCAATTAGTATGACATCCAGAAAGAAGAGAAAAAACAGATGCATTTATCAAAGAAACAATACAAGAACATGTCCAAGAACAGAAGGACATGAGTCTCCACTGTGTGCCCACTAAGATACATAATGTGAAATGTCAGCATCCTAGGCCCTCAGAGAAAACCGAGAAGGGCATCCAAAATAACAAGACCATAGGCCGTGGTGGAACAGAGTCCTCAGCTACTATGATGTGAAGTCAATATCTAAAATTACTAAATCAGGCCGGGCATAGAGGCTCATGCCTATAATCCCAGCACTTTGGGGGGCCAAGGCAGGTGGATTACTTGAAGTCAGGAGTTCGAGACCAGCCTGGCTAACATGGTGAAACCCCATCTCTACTAAAAATACAAAAATTAGCTCAGTGTAGTGGTTGGGTCCTGTAATCCTAGATACTCAGGAGGCTGAGGCAGGGAGAATTGCTTGAACCCGGGAGGCAGAGGTTGCAGAGTGGAGATCACGCCATTGCACTCTAGCTTTGGCGACAGAGTGAGACTTTGTATCAAAAAAAAAAAAATATATATATATATATATATATATTTAAACATGTATTGTTTGGAAAAAGTATTAATGACAAGAAACCTTTAGACTGTACTTTCAGGGATCATTTCTATAATTTGTTACTAGGGAAATTTCTCTGAATGTGTAGAGCACTTAATTTTCATTATTTTAAATAAAATTTTTAAAACATTAAAAAAAAACAAGAAACCTTTCTAGCTTCCCTGTTTCCTTTTGCCTACATGACAAGGCTTAAATCTCCACATCGTGCTCTTTAAAATCAGGACTCAGCCTGCTTTCTCAGCTCATCTGACCACCTTCTCCCCAGCCTTACCCATGTCAGTCACACATTCCTTTAAGGACATGTATCGAGCACCTCAGGTGTGCTAGTAGATATGGAAACATGAATAAGACATCCTCGATTCCTCAATGAATTGTCTAATGGCAGAAACAGATGCATAAAAAATAAATACACTTCAGTGGATTTGATGCTTAAATAAAAGCAAGGACAATGACCTCTTCTGTGGAAAGGCAAAATGAAGAGCAACATGTTGCCCAAGTTTGTTCTTTTGGCTGCATGCCCTTGGTAAGGTCCGTTTGTTTGGCTGAGTTTGTGTATGTGGGTGGCTGTACAGAAGGACAACATGAAATTTTCTCTTACCAGTCCTGCCCTCTCCCTCCCCCAAGAAACAAAGGCTTTTTCTTCCTTCCTCACCAGTCACTTTGTCCATTATGCTCTGATTCTATTTCAGTCAGGAAGCGTTATAAGAGTAATTAAGGAGGCCAGGCCAGGCACAGTGGCTCACGCCTGTAATTCCAGCACTTCGGGAGGCTGTGGGGGACAGATCACCTGAGGTCAGGAGTTGGAGACCAACCTGGCCAACATGGTGAAACCCCGTCTCTACTAAAAATACAAAAGTTAGCTGGGCGTGGTGGCAGACGCCTGTAATCCCAGCTACTCCAGAGGCTGAGGTAGGAGAATCACTTGCACCCGGGAGGCCGAGGTAGCAGTGAGCAAAGATCGTGCCACGCAATAGAGTGAAACTCTGTCTCAAAAAAAAGAAAAGAAAAGGTAATTCAGGAAGATTTATTGGAGACTTTGGGACCTCAGCCGGGGTTAAAGGATGGATAACAGCTAGCCAGGTGGCAGGAGTGGCCAGAGCAAAAGATCTATCTTTGGGAAAGAGCCCGTGCATTCACCGGTGAAGCAATCAGCCTGGCTGCAGAGGTGTGTTGCTAGTTAACGGGAGATAAGGTTGGTATGTGGGGTAACGTTAGCATGAACACAGGCACAGGTGTCGACAGCTGAAGTAAACAGGGACTCTGCATGCTCTTGAGCAAAAATGACATGATACAACCAATACTTGAGGATTGTGAGTGTGTAAGTTAGCAGGATGCAAAACTGAATCCCTGGTCTGCCTCCTTCCCAAACGCTCCACACTGGATTAGCCACCACAGTTGGCATGGAGTTAAATGAAGACTATCCCTCTAAGTTTTAGCAATGAAAGGGAAAAAAGAGTCAATGGCTGCCTATAAAGAGCAGCAGAATCAAACAAAGATAAATTCAAAAAGAAGAGCAAATTTGGAAGAAAACAGAGCAATATTCAGTTTTTAATTCAGCAAATATTTATTGAGCCTCTAGTACCTGCAAAACACTGCTACGTACTGTGGTGAATGTACAGTCCCTCTTTTCACGGAGAGTGAATGATTCAGGTGCATAGCTCTCCATCATGGAATGCAAGAATGCTGGGAGAAAGAACAGGAGAGTAGTGGCTCTCAAACTTTTTGGTCTCAGGACCCCTTCATACTCTTAAAAATTACTGAAGACTTCAAAGAGCTTTTGTTTATGTGGGTTATGTCTGTCGATTTTTGTCCATATTAGAAATGAAGACAAAATCTGGCCAGGCGCAGTGGCTCACACCTGTAATCCCAGCACTTTGGGAGGCCGAGGTGAGGTGAGCAAATCACAAAGTCAAGAGATGGAGACCATCCTGGCCAACATGGTGAAACCCTGTCTCTACCTAAAACTACAAAAATTTGCTGTTTATGGTGGCACACACCTGTAATCCCAGCTACTCAGGAGGCTGAGGCAGGAGAATTGCTTGAACCCATGAGGAGGTTGCAATAAGCTGAGATTGCGCCACTGCACTTCAACCTGGTAATGGAGCAAGATTCCATCTAAAAAAAAAACCCAAAAATCTAAAAAGATGTATTTACCCATTTTTGAGTACACGATATTAAACCTGTTACTTGGCCAGAGGGGCCTGGCATGTTAGCACTGCCCCAAGCATGAGCACACAGGCTGGGTTGTGACAGTGTGTTGGCTCAGCCTCAACTTTGCCCCAAGATCAGACTGGGCACCAGGAGTAGGGAGAGGCCAGGCAGCGGAAGCAGGCATTTCTGAGTCTGTTGGGGCAGGGTGGGACTTCCCAGGCCCCTGAGAGTGCAGAGCTGCCTGGTGCTGCAGCTTGGGCGGCTGCAGCTGCACCCAAGAGGGTGGGGATCCTGTCTGCTCCATGAACACACAGCCCCAGTTGTGCCTCCTTTCTGCAGCTGGACAGGAGCCCAGATGTTCATCATTGATAAGGAAAAATCTCCAGGTTGGCCATTCCCAGATTTCCCTAGCTCAGAATACACATTCAGATGCACCTGTCATACAGGGCCATTCTCAGGGTAGGTGTAAGTTATTGCTCTCAGGTGTGTTTACACTACACTGATAATTAGAATGTAGGTTGACATTTGCCTCTTCACCAGTCTGAAGGTCTGATGGTCACATCAGGTAGGGAGTATCAGGAGCAAGAGCAAGAATTCCATAAATGTCACTCTCAACTTGTTTATTTTCAGCATGACACATTGTACAATGGTTAAGTAAAAGATTTACCAATTATAATATTTAGCCTTAAGTAACTTCACAAAATGGGTGTTGGTTCCCTGCCCAGATTCTGCTTACTAGTCATTGTCCCCATTCCCTACATGCTATGACCCTTGGCTGTTAACAGCTCATACCTGCATCTTTCTGCATAAAAGAACTGACCATAAATGATGAATGCTGGCTCATCAGGAGCATCACACTATTTCACCACCCTCCGGCACCAACTCCAGGTGGCCCATAGCCCATGACCAAATGATACGGGAATACTAAAAGCTTGCCTTCTCACCTCAAGAAGAGATAAGTCCATGGTGCCATCCACACTCCAGAGCTGCTTGTGGAATCAAACTGAAGATAGATTTCAGCTGAACCCACGTCTCTGCCTAGCCTCTTCCTCTGTCCTGTTCTGTTTCTCTCACTCCCTTATAGATTTCAGCTGACATCACTCTCTCACTCACTGGCACAGGAGTCTTCATCTCAAGTTCTGCTTCTTGAGAACATAGCCTAAAACAATAAGCAAATGATTTTAAAACAATCATAAAGACAAGGATTGAAAAGATCATAATGAAGGCAAAAGCAGCAACAAAATGGCAGAATTAGATCTTTTCCTACTTCCAGTATAATCTTTCCTCAGCCAAAATATGTGCTAAAAATGACAGATTAATGAAACCTAACAAGATGTCAGTTAGAAGAGAACTATAAAGAGGACATTTGAAATATAAATTTCTATCCACTATAATTTCTTTTTTTTTTTTTTTTTTCAAGACCAGAGTCTTGCTCTGTCGCCCAGGCTGGAGTGCAGTGGTGTAATCTCGGCTCATTGCAACCTCCACCTCCCAGGTTCAAGGGATTCTCGTGTCTCAGCCTCCCGAGTAGCAGGGATTACAGGCGCGCACCCCACGCCCAGCTAATTTTTTGTTAGACACTGGGTTTCTCTATGTTGGCCAGGCTGATCTGGAACTTCTGGCCTCAAGTAATCCACCTGCCTTGGCCTCCCAAAGTGCTGGGACTATAGGCATTAGCCACTGTGCCTGGCCACTTTAATTTCTTTTTTACATTTTTTCTTTTTTTTTTTTTTAATAGAGGCAGGGTCTCACTATGTTGCCCCGGCTGCTCTCGCACGCGTGGGCTCAAGTAGTCCTTCTGCCTTGGCTTTTCAAAGTGCTGGGATTACAGGCATGAGCCACCACACCTGGCCTTTGTTTTACCTTTATTTATTTTCTCCCTATCATTACCCACAATTAATCCACTTTTCTAGCAAATGAATCTTGTCTTAATGTCTATTAAAATTTGAGATTAAAAAAAAAATTTTGAGATATCAGGCCAGGCACAATAGCTCATCCCTATAATCCTATCACTATGGGAGGTCAAGGCAGGAGGATCCTTTGAGCTCAGGAATGCAAAACCAGTGTAGCCAAAATAGTGAGATCTTGTCTCTATTTTTTAAAAATAAAATGAAACAGTCTGGGCGTGGTGCTCACACCTGTAATCCCAGCACTTTGAGAGGCTGATGCAGGTGAATCACTTAAGGACGGGAGTTCGAGACCAGCCTGGCCAACATGGCAAAACCCTATCTCTACTAAAAATACAGAAATTAGTCAGGTGTAGTGGCATGTGCCTGTAGTCCCAGCTACTTGGGAGGCTGAGGCACAAGAATCACTTGAATCTGGGAGACAGAGGCTGCCATGAGCCAAGATCATGCCACTGCACTCCAGCCTGGACAGCAGAGCAAAACTTTATCTCAAAAAATAAATAAGTAAAAATAAAAAATAAAAAGATATATTAGCTAAGGATAATATAAAGCATTACCATTAGCAAAGCATTTAAAATTTATGCATTCAGGATATGATGCTAAATCTCTACAATCTTTTCAGTAATATTTCAAATTATGTGATAGGCATTGCAACACTTTATATACAGTTTCACTGACTTAAATGATAAATGTTTAGAATTCTGAATTATCTTACTTCTGAGCTATCTTAATGGAAAAAAAAAAACAAAAAACAACCCAGGCCAGGCACAGTGGCTCACTCCTATAATCCCAGCACTTTGGGAGGCCGAGGTGGGTGGATCATCTGAAGTCAGGAGTTCGAGGCCAGCCTGTCCAATATGGTGAAACCATGTCTCTAATAAAAATACAAAATTAGCCAGGTGTGTTGGCACGCACCTGTAATCCCAGCTACTGGGGAGGCTGAGGCAGGAGAATCACTTAGAACCCAGGAGGCGGAGGTTGCAGTGGGCAGAGACTGTGCCGCTGCACTCCAGCCTGGGCAACAGAGCAAGAATCATCC